TGCTGCTGCTGCTGCTGCTGCTGCTGCTGCTGCTGCTGCTGCTGCTGCTGCTGCTGCTGCCGTGTTGCATTTATGCTTGTGCATTTAGCCAGATGGCCGTTTAAATAGTACGAAGAGCTGCTGCGCTTCTCCAAATCGAATTTTTGCTTTTCTCAACTTAATTCAAAACAAGTGAGGCTTTTATGAAGCCCTGCTGCTGCTGCTGCTGCTGCTGCTGCTGCTGCTGCTGCTGCTGCTGCTGCTGCTGCAGCGGTGGTTTGGGGGCGACAACGAAGTGGGCCGCAGAAGAAGCAGCGCTGTTGAAGAGCTGGGCCTTCAAGAAGACCCCTGCGGGTCTTTCTTGGAGAGGCCCACTTCAGTATATGAACTCTAGCTGCTGCTGCTGCTGCTGCTGCTGCTGCTGCTGCTGCTGGTGCAGCAGCAGCTGCTGCAGTGGCTGGCGGTGCCGCAGCAGCTGCAGGTGGCGCTGCAGCTCGTGCGCAAATAGCGCTGCAGCGGGTGCTGCAGTAGCAACCAAAGCTGCTGTTGCTGCAGCAGCTGGAGCTGTGCAGCCGCTGCTGCTGCTGCTGCTGCTGCTGCAGCTGCTGCAGCTGCTGCAGCTGTTTGCGGGTGTGTTTTCTTGAGCTTTTGTCTCTTTATGAATTTTGCTGCTCTTTGTCTCTTTCTTAATTTCTCTGTTGCCCTTTTCTACATCTGGGCTGCTGCTTCCTCTAGGCGCCGCCCCTTTTTGCTGCTGCGCTGCTGCTGTGCTGCTGCTGCGCTGCTGCTGCTGCTGCTGCTGCGCTGCTGCTGCTGCTGCTTCTTTCGTCTTAAGGGTCCCCCCCTCTAAGGAAGCCCTCAGCAGCAGAGGGCCGCAGCAGCAGGCTTTTCTAAACCCTAAACCCTAAACCCTAAACCCCAGGGGCCCGTAGGTGCAGCAGCAGCAGCTCAAACCAAAACCCAAATAAAACTTTTTTTAAACCCTCAGTTGCATTTATTACTAAAAGGGGCCCCCTATGAAGGGCCCCAGGGGCCCCCAAGGGACCCCTTTGGGGGGCCCCAGGTGGCCCCAGGGGCCTCCCGGGGGCTTTGAGGGGGCCCCAAGGGGCCCCCAAAAGGGCCCCAAGGGGGCCCCAAGGGGGCCCCGAGGGGCCCCCATGGTGGAGCTACTAAGAAGCAAATAGCTTAGGGGGCCCCCCAGCTTTACCCCACATTCATTGAAGTTCTGCATGCAGCTAATACTACTAAGGGGGCCCCCAGGGGCCCCTTCGGGGCCCCCTCGGCCTTCTGGGGGCCCCAGGAGGCCCCCAGTGGGCCCCAGGGGGCCCCCTGGGGGCCCCAGTATCTCTGCATGTTCCCCATATTCTGAAGTAGAAGGAATGGCAATGTTTTAATTTCTATATTTTGACATTTGAAAGGGCCCTTTAGGGGGCCCCTGAGGGGCCCCCCGTCTCGGGTAATAGGGGGGCCCCCCAGAAGAGCTAAGCGCAGCAAGAGGGGCCCCCAACTAAATAAGGGCACAGGGGGGGGGCCCCCCACCCCTCTCTAAGCTTATTCCCCCCTGGCTGGCCCAGGGGGCCCCCCTATACTAGTGTGCACTACTGCTGCTGTGGGGCCCCACAGCTTCTGGGGTAGTTAAGGGGGTCTAGCAGAGGGGGGCCCCCCTCCCTGCTGCAGCTACATGCGCAGGGACTGCCCGTGGCGGGGGGCCCCCAGGGGCCCCCCTCAGAGCCCAGGGGGCCCCCATTCTGTATTGCCTCCGAGGGCCTCGGGGCCCCTGGAGGCTCCCGAGGGGCCCCCCGGGGCTGCTGGGGGCCCCTTGAATGGTGAAGTGGCTAAAAGTAAGAAAGCAAAGTGTTTGAAGCGGGCCGGCGGAGCGGTTGCTGCTGCTGCTGCTGCTGCTGCTGCTGCTGGTGCAGCAGTGCAGCGGGAGCAGCGCGGCGGCGGCCCGCAACGCGGGAGCTTCTGCGGGTTTTGGGTTTATTTTGCTGCTAAAAAGCCACTAATTTGAAGAATTGTTGCAGCATTTGTGCAAAAGAATTCAGTGGAAAGAATATAAAGTGCGAATGGACCTGAGCGATGGCCGGTTGGGCAGTGGGAGCTGCGCGTACACTGCAGCCGGGAGCGCTGGGGTGTACAGGCAGCTCGCGCCGCCGCTTTTCGAACGCCGTTTGTTCTTTTTATTATTTCATTTATTAAAATTGAATTAATTTGCGAGACAGAAGTCGAAAAGCCGGCAAAGCGCGGGCAGCTCGTAGACACAGAGCAGCGCGGCAGCAGCCCCGGCTGTCAAGACTGCTGCTCAGCAGCAGCGGGAGCCCCGGGTGTATCTCCACCTTTTCGGGCTCGTTTTGTGTCTTTTGTTTGTCTTTTTTAGTCATTTTAAGTCCCTTTTAATTCCTTTTCTTCCAGAGACTCCCTGCAACATGAAGGCCTCCAGCTGGCGCGGCCTGGCGCCCCTAGCCGTTGCTGCTCTGCTTTGCCTCGCAGGTAAGGGGGGCCCCCCTCTCTTTTCCCGGGGCCCTTCGCGTTGCTTTTGGGCTTTTTGGGGCCCCTTGGGGGGCCCCCGGGGGCCCCGGGGGCCCCCAGCAGCAGCAGCGGCCCGCCCGCAGCAGCAGGCGCCGCTGCTGCTGCGCGGCAGCGCGGGGGGCCCCCGGGGGCCCCCGGGCCAGCGGGGGGTCCCCTGTGGGGCCCCCCGGCCTTCGCTGGGGTGTACGTACACCCCGCTGCAGCAGCAGGGGGCTGTCTTCCCTCCCGGGTGTCTCTGCAGCAGCAAAGACTTGTGATTTGTGGGGTCACTTGGGCTTGTGGGGCGGGCCGGGGAGCAGCGGGAGGCCTGCTGCTGCTGCTGCTGCTGCTGCACGTGCTGCTGCTGCTGCTGCTGCTGCTGTTGGTGTTGTCGCAGCCGCGGCGCCGTCGCGCGCCGCCGAGGAGGCCGCTGCTGCTGCGGCGGAGCCTGCTGCTGCTGCTGCTGCTGCAGCAGCAGCAGCAGCAGCAGCTGCAGAAGGCGCAGAGAGCTCGTTCGAAGCGGAGCCCGCGGAGGAGCCCGCGGAGGCGCCAGCAGCAGCAGCAGCAGCAGCAGCAGCAGCAGCAGCAGGCGGAGAAGGACTGGCAGCAGCTCTGGCGCCCCTCGGAGATGCAACAGCAAATGGGATTTTGGCCAAACTCAAGGAATTCCCAGGCCTTGGAGAACGCGGGGCTGGTTTGCTGCAGCTCGCTGAAGAAGGCCTCGGCTTTCAGGCCAGCAAAATGGAGTTGAAGAAAATAGTCCCCATGTTGATCGAGCTGCAGAAGAACGTCCACGAGCACTACAGTCCGCTGCTGCTGCTGCTGCTGCTGCTGCTGCTGCTGCTGCTGCTGCTGCTGCTGCTGCTGCGGAGGGTGCTGCGGAGGGGCTGGCGCGAGCGGCGCTGCGGTTCTGCTGCTGCTGCTGCTGCTGCTCGCGACGCGAAAGCGGATGCGGCGCAAGCGCTGCGATTCGCTCGCGCGATGCTGCTGCTGCTGCTGCTGCTGCTGCTGCTGCTGCTGCTGGTTGAAGGGGGGGTGGCTTTGGGCTGCAGTTGTTGGGGTTCTTTTTGTGCGGAAGAGGCGCTTTTTGGGCGAAGCGAAGGAAACGCAACTCGCGCTTCCCTGCTGCTGCTGCTGCTGCTGCTGCTGCTGCTGCTGCTGCTGCTGCAGTTCTGACGAAAGGCAGCAGCAAACACAAGCCCTCGGCGCTGCTGTCGCGAGTTGCTGGCCGGAAGTCCCGCAGCAAAGTGCTGAAGTCAATGAAGTACTTTGCGCCGCAGACGGAGGAGGGCGAGCTGATGCAGCAGCTGGACATAGTGACGGTGGGTGTTGAATTTTGCGAATTTGCGGCCTTTTGCGGCCATTTTAATCCATTTTAATTCAATTTAATGCAATTTAATTCAATTTAATTTAATTTAATTTAATTTAATTCTTTAATTCCGCTTTTCGCGGCTTTTTCCGCTTCAAACGGCGCCTTTTGGTTGGGGTGTACAGGCACCTCGCTGGGGTGTACAGGCACCTCGCTGGGGTGTACAGGCACCTCGCTGGGGTGTACAGACAGCCCTTGCCGAATTAAAAGTTCTTTTTGAAATTAAAAATGCAATTTAAATGCAATTTAATGCAATTTAAATGCAATTTAATGCAATTTAATGCAATTTAATGCAATTTAAAGTAAAAAAGGGAAATAAAAGGGAGTGGAAGGGCTGTTGGGGGCTTGCTGCTGCTGCAGCAGCAGCAGCAGCAGCAGCAGCCAGAAAGCGCGGATTTCTTTTGGCTGAGGGCTGTGGTAGTGTGCTGCTGCTGCTGCTGCTGCTGCAGCAGCTGCTGCACGAGCTGCACACGAAGCCGAGCAGCAGCATGCAGGAGATTTTGGAGTCTGTCTCGAAAGCTGTGGGGTTTGAACTTGAAGAAGAAGAAATGAAAGAACTCACAGGACAAATGAAGTGGGCTCATGATTTAATGGAGAAGATTTTGCCGTTATTTCCGAAAGCGCTGAAGTCCGGGAAGGCTGAGGAGCTCTAAACCCTAAACCCTAAACCCTAAACCCTAAACCCTCGCGCGGCGCTGGCAAAGGGCCGGGCCGCCGCGCGCCGCGCCGGCCGGGGTTCTTCTTGCTGCTGCTGCTGCGGCGGGCTGCTGCTGCTGCTGCTGCTGCGCGGTCGGCTGCTGCAGCGGCGCCTGCTCTGCAGCTGCTGCGGCCGCTGCTGCTGCTCTCCCCGCTGCTGCAGCTGCTGCAGCTGCTGCAGCTGCTGCAGCAGCTGCTGCAGCTGCTGCAGCAAATCTTGTTTTAATTCTCTTGTGTTTTAATGGTTCTCAGCTAAGCCAGCTAGCCGAAACATCTGCATGTGTTGTTTAACTTCAAATTAGCAGGAGCAGCAGCAGCACCAACAGCAGCAGCAGCAGCAGCAGCAGCAGCAGCAGCAGCAACGCCTCGTGCTGCGGGGCCCCTCTCTCCCCCCTGAGCGCTGCGGGGCCCGAGTCATTTTTGCTGTTAACACTTTTAAACTTTGTTCTCAATATGCTTGGGTCTTAGCAGCAGCAGCAGCAGCAGCAGCAGCAGCAACAGCAGCAGCAGCAGCAGCAGCAGCAGCTAGAGAAGGGCAGGAGGAGTAGTGAGTAAAGGAAAGCTTTTAGATATTTTCATCTGCGTTGCTGTTTACATTTCAGCTTAGCTGAGGGCCACTGAGGCTGATCTCTAGTGTGCAAGTTGCAGCGGCAGCTGCAGCAGCTGCAGCAGCTGCAGCAGCTGCAGCAGCAGCAGCTGCAGCAGCAGCAGCTGGCTTGCTGCAGCAGCAGCAAGCGCAGGTTGCTGCAGCAGCACCATGCACAGGCTGTCGCGGCAGCAGCAGGCACAGGCTGCCGCAGCAGCAGCAGCAAGAACACGCTGCTGCAGCAGCAGCAGGCACAGGCTGCTGCAGCAGCAGCAGGCACGGGCTGCTGCAGCAGCAGCAGGCACAGGCTGCTGCAGCAGCAGCAGCAAGCACACGCTGCTGCAGAAGCCTGGGGCTGTGTTGGTTCTTAGCAGGAAGAGCAAATTTGGGGTGTATAAGACCTTTGTGCTGCCAGCATGCAAGAATATTTGAAATGTGTGGGGAAAAGCAAAATATTTTCTTGTTTTTTGGCTTGCATGCAAATTAAATTAAATTAATTCAGTGCAAAGAGTCGAAAATGAAAAGAACTGAAGAGCTGCAGCAAAGGGGAAGTGCAGGCGACGTGCGGATACACCTCAGGAGTTCAGGTGTACAGACAGCTCGGCGCGCAGCCGGCGACGACTGCGGCGCGATCTGGCCGCGAAAAAAGAATTAAATTCATTTTTTTAAATGTTTAAATGTTTTATTTTGCTTTTAGTTTCTTTAATTTGTTCTGGAGAGGGAATTCAGGCCTCGCTCGGGGCTCGCTCGCGCGGGCTGCGCGGCCGACGCGGCGGCGGCCGAGGCGGCGCGCGAGTGGTCGATTTCCGCCGTTTGCGCCGCTTTTTGCGGCTAAAAGAGTTTAAAAGTTGTTTTGTTTTATTTATTTTGTTTAAATTTGCGGAAAAAGAAGAAAAAGCCTCCAAAAAAGCCTTCAAAACCGCATGTTGGCCGGAAGGACCGAGCAGCAGCCAGGGCGCGGCCGACTGCTAGCGGCATCGGCAGCAGCAGCTGCGAAGCCCGCGGGAGATCTCTTTCTTTACTTTTGCATTTATTTCAATTTAATCTTTATTGCAATTAATAAACAAATACTTTTAACTGCTGCTGCAGAAAAAGAAGCGAAAACCAACGGGCTCTGCGCGCCGCCCAGCCCAGCGGCGAAGCCGATGGTCTGCTGGGGGCACCAGCAGCAGCAGCAGCAGCAGCAGCAGCAGCAGCAGCAGCAGCAGCAGCAGCAGCAGCAGATTTTCTCTTTCTTTCATCTCGTTTGAGCTGCTTCAGCCTCGCGGATTCCCAGCTCTCGGGACGACAGCGAGGCAGGAGTCTCTTCTCAGCAGCAGCAGCAGCAACAGCAGCAGCAACGGCAGCAGCAGCAGCAGCAGCAGCAGAAGCAGCAGCAGCAACAAAGGCCCAGTTGGCTCGGCCTTTTAGTCTTATGCAGCTGCCTGTTGCTGCAGCTGTCTGCTGCTGCTGAGGCAGAGACAGGAACAGCTCTTGACTGCAACTTGGGGCGCCCTAAACCCTAAACCCTAAACCCTAAACCCTAAACCCTCGGCGAGAATGCAGCACGTGGGCCAAAGCTGCTGCCTTTGCCACCACTGAAGAAACCAGCTTGCGGCGCTTCGGCCTGCCCCCCTAAACCCTAAACCCTAAACCCTAAACCCTAAACCCTCGGAGGCTCCCGATGTCTCGGGAGAAGTGCTGCTGCTCCAGAGAAAAGGAGAAGACGAGGAAGCAGCAGCAGCGCAGCAGCAGCGCAGCAGCAGCGCAGCAGCAGCGCAGCAGCAGCGCAGCAGCAGCAGTTGGTTTTATATTTGAATTGAAGTTGGAATTCGAAATAAAATTAATTAAAAATTAAAAAGGAGACACAGCGGGAGAATGTGCTGCTGCTGCAGCGGGGAGGCGCTGCGCTGCTGCTGCTGCTGCAGCAGCAGCAGCAGCGGGGAAGAAGCTGAGGTGTCTGTACACCTCAGAAAAAGCGCAGTCGTCAAGACACTCAAAGCAGCAAAATGTTTGTCCAGAAATTCTTTGCTGCAGTTGGAATTAGATCAGCAATTAGTAATTGACAGCAGCAGCAGCAAAGCCAGCAGCCACCGCCCCTGCTGCTGCTGCTGCTGCTGCTGCTGCTGCTGCTTCCCCCCCGCCTTTGCTGCTCTCTTTCCCCTCCTTTGCCTCTACGCTTTCGCCCTCTGCACTCTCCACTTCAAGCTCTTCAACGTCGAAGACGTCCGCCAAACCCTAAACCCTAAACCCTAAACCCTAAACCCTAAACCCTCGAGTTCGAGCCCGCAGCGCAGCGCGCGCTTCCGCCTGGCCTCTCACCCAAACCCTCAGCAGCCCTTCCCCGGGCCTAAACCCTAAACCCTACTTCTTCCCGTCTAAACCCTAAACCCCAAACCCTAAACCCTAAACCCTAGCCGCGGCCGCCGCCCGTGCTGAAGCTGCTGCTGCTGCTGCTGCTGCTGCGCTGTGGGGTTTGGGGTGTACGTACAGCTGGTGCCCGCGGAGCTGCTGGACTTCAGCATTTTCTTTCCTGCTGCTGCTGCTGTTTTAATTCTTTTCTTTTCTGCTGCTTTTCTCCTTTCGGCCCTCAGGACTTCCGCCATTGCCTCCCTCGTAAACCCTAAACCCTAAACCCTAAACCCTAAACCCTAAACCCTCGAGCCTGGGGGCCTTAGAACGCTGTTTGAAGCCCCGCAGAGCCGCGAACCCTCCGCGGCGGGCCTCCCCAACCCCCAGCCCCTAAACCCTAAACCCTAAACCCTAAACCCTAAACCCTAAACCCTAAACCCTAAACCCTAAACCACAAAACCCTAAACCCTAAACCCTAAACCCTAAACCCTAAACCCTAAACCCTAAACCCTAAACCCTAAACCCCAAACCCTAAACCCTAAACCCTAAACCCTAAACCCTAAACCCTAAACCCTAAACCCTAAGCTGACCACTGCTTGGCGAGGGGTCTCATTTGCTTTGGCCCGCAGATCCGCCGCACCTGGGACGAAGCCGTAGTAGAAGAACTCGCAAATTATGTTGAAGGCAGCAGCAGCAGCAGCAGCAGCAGCAGCAGCAGCAGCAGCAGCAGTTACCTGTTCCCCCCGCCCGGAGCGCCGCGCCCGACGACGCCGCCTGCAGCGACGGGAGCAGCAGCAGCAGCAGCAGCAGCAGCAAACTTCGTCTAAAAACAAAAATTGAAATAGTAATAAGTAGTTGAAGCCGCTTATAAACGAGACAGTCCAGCCCTTACAGAGCCAAAAGCGACTAGCAGCAAGAGCGCTTTCACCTCCCTTATCCTCTTACTCCTGCTGCTGCTGCTGCTGCTGTTGCTGCTGCTGCTGCTGTTGCTGCTGCTGCTGCTGCTGCTGCTGCAGGCCCCGGCAGTCCCCCCACGCCGCCGCACGCGATCTCAATGCCTTGCTCTGGAGCCCTGTGCCTTAAGTGCTGAGACAGAGAGTTGCCCTGGGGGCCTCTGGGCCTCTCAGGGGGCCCCCCTGGGGGCCCCCCAGGGGGCCCCCCGGGGCCCCCTGACGGACCAGGGGGCCCCCCGAGGCCCCCCGGGGGCCCCCTGGGGGGCCCCCCCAAGGGGCTCCCGAGGCAGCAGGAGCCTGTGGGGCTCCGAGCCCCCTGACTGCCCCAGGGGGCCCCAAGGCAGCAGCAGCCTGTGGGGCCCCCACGGGGGCCCCCACAGGGGCCCCCAGGGGGGCCCCCAGGGGGGCCCCCAGGGGGGCCCCCAGGGGGGCCCCCACTTTGAAGTGGAGCTCAGCTCCACCCAAGAAACAAAAAGCAGCCCAAGGGGGGACCCTTGGGATTTTAGCCCGGCTGTGGGCTCGACAGAGGGCTCTTGCAGTTGAGGCATTTGAGAGATTTATTTGAAACTTTTGCAAACTTTTCAAAGAAATAATCCCAAGTCCGAAATTAAATTCAAATTCTTTTGAAATTTATTCACAAGTCCCCACAGGCTCCAGTGAGGCAGCCCAAGAGATCTGTTCCAGCGTCCAAAGCGCAGCAGCAGCAATAGCAGCAGCTGCTGCGGCAGCAGCAGCAGCAGCTGCTGCTGCTGCTGCTGCAGCAACAGCAGCACCTACCCAACGGCGTTGCTTTGCAAGTACTTAATGCATAATGTTTAGTTCTGGCATCTGGCTCACAGCAAGCTAGCTAGCTAGCTAGCCATCTAGCGTGGTAGCTAGCTAGCTAGCTAGCCAGTTAGCGAGGTAGCTAGCTAGCTAGAGTATCAGTTACCTAGTTAGCTACTAGTTTGGCAGCTAGCCAGCTAGCTTGCTACCTTGCTAGCTGGATAGCTAGCTAGGTAGCAAATGGGTTGGCTGCTGGCTAGCTGGCTGTCAGGCCGTCTTGCTAGCTGGCTAACTAGCTAGCTAGCTAACTAGTTAGCTAGCTAGCTAGTTAGCTAGCTAGCTAGTTAGCTAGCCACTTAGCTAGCTAGCTAGCTAGCTAGCCAGGCAACTAACTGGCTCGCTAGCACTGTAAATGCATTATGTAAACTTCTATACTTATTCAAATTAGCTGTATCTACACTTAGGTCTATATCTTTATTTCTGTTCTAGTAATGAATATGAAGTTTATTTAAATAAATAAAATACATTAATGATAAACAAAAAGTATAATTAAATAATAAGCAATATGGATATTTGCACAAGTATATAATATATATGTAAAATACCACTATGTATAAATGATTAGGAAATAATAAATGAAACAAGTAGATAATAAATGACAAATGAATTAATAAATAATCAAATGAATGAATAAGAAAAAACAATTCAAATAATTAGATAATAAATGACAAATGAATTAACAAATAAATAAATAGAAAGACTCAAGGTGAAGACGACGTTCTCACCCTTTTAGGGTTTGCGCGGCCACTCGCTAACCGCTAAATTAGGGTTTAGGGTTTATTTGGGGCTTACGAAAAAACTCCAAAAAAACTTCCAACTAAAAAAAGGGCCTAGGGTTGAGGCCCTTCAAAATAACTAAATTTGTATTTCTAAAAATGCAAAAGAATTGATAAAAGGCATTTGATTCTCTTTGCGCATTTTTTCAGAAGTTTTGATCAGAGTTGGGGCTTTTGCATGCATTAATATTTCAAATTAAATTATTTAATAATTCTGTTTGCACTTGGGGCTCTTGCATGTATTAATATGACAAATTAAATGATTTAGTAAGTCCTAGTGGAACTGCAAAAGAATAAAAGTGCAAAAAGGTTTCTTTGCATGCAATTATCTGTTTTTTATTTGCGGTGTATGTACACTGCTCTGCGCTGGCGCATGCATGCACTCCCCAAAGCTCTCTTTTTTCTCCGTTTTTTCTTCTGATTTATTCAAATAAATGAAGAATTAATGAATTAATTAATTCTGCAATTATTTAGAAACAATTAATTGTGAAATTTGACTTGTTTTCTGTTCATTTGGAGAAAAAAGACAAAAAAGCCCCACTGACACGCGCAGCGTTCGACTGAAGTTGAAAGTTTCCAAGTGAAATAAATAACAATAAACGCATATTTGCAAATAATAAATATATATTTGCAAATAAATTGCAAATATATATTTATAAATGCATTTTAAATTTACATTTATAAATAAATATCTTCATAAAGAAGTATATAAGCAAATACACTTCTAGCTGTAGCCTCGAAGTGTGCTGTGCCTCTTCAGAAGCACTTTCGCTTCTTTTTTTTAATATTTATTTATTTATTATTATTTATTTATTATTATTTATTTATTTATTATTATTTATTATTTATTACTATTTATTATTTATTATTATTTGTTTATTATTTATTTTATTAAGTCTATCCAGGTCTGCCTCTGTGTCTGCGATTGGCCACTTTGGCTTTTTTGTGCGTTTCCACAGTTTTGTTAAGTTTGTTAATACTATTTGATTTATTTATTTTATTTATTTTATTTATTTTGTTTGTGTTGTTTGTTTTCTTTCTTTTATTTGTTTCATTTGATTTATTTATTTCTTTTCTTTTGTCTTCAAGTTTATCTTCTGCTGCTGCTTTCTTCTTTGCTGCTGCAGCGCCGCAGCTCCACGCCTTTCCCTTCTTCGCTGGAGCAGCACAAATTTCACTCTAAACCCTAAACCCTAAACCCTAAACCCTAAACCCTCGATCTGCGGCTACGAAAAGTTGTAAACCCTAAATAAACCCCGCATTAAGCTCACCGCCGAATAAAGAACACCAATTGCAAAATTTTAAAATCACAAAAAGGTTTTTTAAAGTCACAAAAAGGTTTTTCTAAATCACAAAAAGGCTCTTTTAAGTCACAAAAAGGTTTTTTAAACCACAGAAAGATTTTTTAAATCATAAAAAGATTTTTTAAATCACAAAAAGATTTTTTTTCGCCTTCAAAAAGGCCAAAAATCAAAACAAATATTTTATCCCCTCTGCAGCCTACAGGGGGTTTAGAACGAGGGTTTGCAATTTCTAGGGTTTGCAACAATTAGGGTTTGCAACAATTAGGGTTTGCAAGAATTAGGGTTTGCAATTGTTAGGGTTTAGAGTTATTAGGGTTTGCGATTAGGGTTTGCAGTGGCACTGGCACATTGCAAGGGTTTTGAAAGGGTTTTGATGCAAATAAATTCCATTAAGAAAAATAAATGGATTTAAAAATGCGAAGTAAATAATTAAATGTGCAAATTAAATTAATTAGAATGTTTGAAACAAATGAATTAATTAAAATTAATTTAATTTTAAAACAAAGAGTTCAAAACGCAAATGCAAAACATTCAAGAGGCAGCCGCGGAGGCGCCGCTGCTGCTGCTGCTGCTCTCCGAAGCAGCAGCAGCACAGCAGCAGCAGCAAATGGAAGACAACTGCTTCCCTTTCCCTGTGCTGCTGCTGCTCCATTTCCTCTTGATTTATTAATTCTTAATTTATTTTTTATTTCAATTTTTGCTTCATTATTTATTATCTATTTATTAATTTATTAATTTATTAATTTATTAATTTATTTTTTTGCAACTGGCAGACCGCCCGCCCCCAAACCCATATATTCATATATTCGGCCGCAGCAGCAGCAGCAGCTGCTGCAGCAGCAGCAGCTGCTGCAGCAGCAGCAGCAGCTGCAGCAGCAGCAGCTGCTGCAGCAGCTGCTGCAGCAGCTGCTGCAGCAGGCGCAGGCTACTTGGGAGCAAAGGCAAAAACACATTTTCACATTGCAAACATTTTTCAAGACTACAGCAGAGCAGCTACTCTGCTGCTGCTGGTGCTGCTGCTGCTGCTGCTGCTTCTGCTGCTGCACCTGCGGCATTCCTCTTTGTTATATCTCGTCTGTACACAAAGTCAAAGGACAAAAAAACCCCAAACCCTAAACCCTAAACCCTAAACCCTAAGATGTCCTAGAAAGCCTCAGGTGTCTGGCACAACAGCTGCAGCAGCAGTGGCAGCAGCAGCAGCAGCAGCAGAAGTGCATCAGCCCAATCCGGGCAGCAGCAGCCACAGCAGCTAGCTAAACATGCTGCAGCCGCTGCTTTCACTGCTGCCGCTGCTGCAGCTCCAACTGCTGCCGCTGCTGCAGCTCCAACTGCTGCTGCTGCTGCAGCCCCAACTGCTGCTGCTGCTGCTGCTGCTGCTGCTGCTGCTGCTGCTGCTGACGCACGCAATTTCCTGGGCAATTTCCGTGTGCTGCTCCGCGTCGAGGGAAGCTTTGCCTTCCACCTTTTTGAGGCCAACTGTCACTTCGCCCCGCAAGTTGCTTTCCATCAGTTCCTTCAGCCGCGGCCCCGTCACCCCCTTTCCTGCAGCAGCAGCAGCAGCAGCAGCAGCAGCAGCAGCAGCAGCAGCAGCAGCAGGTAAACAGCTGCTGTGGACAACTCTCTGGGCAGCTCTGTGGACAGGTGCGGGGCTCCAAGCTACGCTTTCATCTATGCGCCCATAGAGCTAGCTAGCTAGCCAGCCACCTATCTAGCTAGCTAGCCAGCCAGCTAGCTAGCTAGCTAGCTAGCTAGCCACCTAGGTATCTAGCCAGCTAGCTAGCTAGCTAGCTAGCCACCTAGGTATCTAGCCAGCCAGCTAGCTAGCCAGCTAGCTAGCCAGCTAGCCAGCTAGCTAGCCAGCTAGCTAGCCAGCCAGCTAGCCAGCCAGCTAGCTTGCTGGCTAGCTAGTTAGCTAGCTGGCTAGCGACGGACCCATGAGGTAGTAGAGTTTGGCGACGACGGCCTCTGGGGTCATGTCTTTGGCGCAAATGACTCCGAGGGAAGAAATCCAAACTCCGTTTTCGTAAATGAGGAGATTTGCTGTTCCTTTGCTGCACTGCGTAGCAGCAACAACAGCAACTCCAGCAGCAATTGCTGCGCGGATTGCTGCGCGGAAGCGCGGGGAGTTGGGGGCAGTGCCAGCTCCAAACAGCTGCAGCACAACAGCAAACGGCCGCAGCGAAGTCCGCAGCAGCAGCAGCTCGAGGGCCTCGAGGGGGGTGCCTGGGGCGAGTTGCAGTGTACAGACACTGCAGCAGAGGCCCGTGAAGACCCGAAAGGGGGCCCCCGGGGGGGGGGGGGGGGCCCCCCCC